CTCAGAACATAACTTGAAACCAAGAATAAAACCGAAATAGATCACAAAAACAATAGCTCTCATTCCTCATGTGTAGAATGTCTCCCAGGTCTTCCTTCAAAACAAATTTGCTCTTATGTAGCACATAACTTTATTAAGTTTTATATAGCCTATGATTGTAATAAGCTTGGCTATCTGGTTTATGACTATCTTCAAGGTTAGAAGAATCACATTAGGAGAGGGACGAGCTGCTTCTCCACTCAAAGACATTGGCAACTGTGAGAAGTAAGAACTATGAGCTTAAAGACAAAGGGAAAAGAATTTTTAAAAATCTGTAACAGATCTAATTATTCACAAATTTCAGTTTAGGTTTGGAGTAACAGCTCCTTACGGGGTCTGTTGTATGCCTTATGAATCATAAAAATCTCCCTGACACATCCAATGTCTTTCAAGAACATTTCATCAACCTACTTAACTAATACTTTGCTCTTCTTTGAGGGTAGAAGATCTCTTCAGAGCTCTTTCAGTGGTAGGTACTATGGTCCTACTCTGGTCTCCTGTGGGTTAGAAGCAGACTGTACACATTTTTGACCCTCTTACCTCCTTGTAAGCACCACTACCACTCATTCACATCCGTTCTCACTTAGAGCCTAGGCTATCTAGCTGTTAGTATGATATGGCATAAAGGACACTAACCCTGGAGTCAAACAGACACAGTTTTGAATCCAGCCTTGCCATTCACAAATTCTGTAACCTGGGACGAATTACTTGGGCTCTATGATTTTAGTTTAATCATCTGTGAATGATTTTAATCTTCTGTGAATGAGGATGAGGGAATACTATCATAGGGGTATTGTGAAAACTGAATATGAAAATGCCTAACTATGCACAGTATATAATAAGTACCAACTAGGTACCCTCACTCTTCTCTGGTAATCCTCAACTGCTGAATTTCTGATGATTCCGTAATCATGGAAAGCTTGGGCACCTGGTTCATTGGCTTCTTTTCTTTGTCAGTGCTTGACATTACCCATTCGATATTCCTACCTCATTATTACTTCGCTGCTTTTCAGCAGCCTCTTGTTAGTGCCTCAGTAGTGGATCTATTTCATCTCACTATTTCCCAGATCTGCTATATATCTGAGATCTTAAATTCTAAGGTGTGCTCTTTTTTTGTTATGGTCTTCTTTTCCTCTACTCGTTTTCTTCTGTCATCTATATTTGTTTCTACAAATATAGTCCAATAACTCTAACCCAATAACTGCTTAACTGCCTTCTATTATATAAAGTCCACCTTCTTACTTTTTCCTCCTATCCAGTCTACACCTTGTGACTCAAACTTCAAGCATTCATACAGTATTCCCTTCTGTCTTGCCCCTCGTACTTCCAACGTACCCCTCTAAAAGTTCCTTATCTATGGGCAATCTAGCTTTTCTGTTCATACAAGCTCTTTATCAGACATATTTGTTGAAAATATTTTCTCTCAATGTATGTTCTGCTTAATCATTTTCTTAAATAGTGTCTTTGGATGAAGAGAGGTTTTTAATTATGAAGTCTAAGTACCAAAATTTCTTGTATGGCTGGTGCTTTCTATGTCCTGAGAAATCTTTGCTTGCTCCATAGTCATGAAGAATTTCTCATATATTTTTCATTGGAAGTCTAGCTTTTATATTTACCTCAGAAATTTATCTCCAGTTAATCATTGTGTACTGTGTGACATAGGTGAAAAGTCCACTTATTTTTTTCTCTATAGGTACTCAGATCTGCTGAAAGACTTTTCTGCCTCCACTAAATTGTTTGGTACCTTTATGGAAAGCAATTGCTTAAATGTGTGTATCTCTTTATGGATGCTGTATTCTATTACATTAATTTATTTGTCTTTCTTTATGCCAATACTACAGTTATAAAACACATCTCTGTAGATCTCTTGCAAATATGTAGGTCTTGTGAGCAGAGGTACTGATTGTTTTGGATTATTTTTTCAAAGATATTTGTATAGAAAATAGTCTTAAAGAAAACAAATAATGTCTCCCTCCAGAATAAAAGGAAGGCTTACTTATTGTCTACTATAATAAATATCATACAGATCATGTTTCCCTCCTAGGCAAAGGTCAGGTAGGCTGAATGTCTCGTATCAAAATATTTGGGTTCTCTAAACAAGGATTCTTCTCCTGTTCTGGACTCTACTGTGTGTTCAGTTATCATCTGATGCTTTTTGTGTTGTTCTGTGGGAACTGGTGCTCAGTGAACTGGCACTAATGCTGATTATCTGGCGATAGCTGTTGCCATGAGTAATAAGGTCCTCTATCTCTGATCCTGGAGTGCTATGTCTTTTGCCAGCATACTTGAAAACTGGCAGGCCATAGGTCCAGCATATTCTATCTTGAGGAAATCCCCATGTGGCTTCGTAAAGAATGTACAAAATGTTGGATGCAGTGTTTTACAAAATCAATTAAGTTGGTAACTACTATTTAAATCTTCCATAGATTTATTTTCTTTCCATCTATTTGTTCTATCAAAGACTTAAAGAGAAATTTTAAGAACCTCACCCTCTACTTTGTCTATTTCTATTTCATTCTTTCGTTTTTTGTTTTGTGTATTGTGAACCTCTGTTAATAGGTGCATACACATTAATGACTGTTATGTCTTTTTAGTAAGTTGATTCATTTTTAAACTAGGAAATGTCCATCTATATCTATGGTAATATTTCTTGTCCTAATGTCTATTTTGTCTGCTAATTACATAGCCACTTAAACTTAAGATCTCCAAAGGCTCCAAACAACCTTCATAATAAATGTCAAACTCTTAATCTTGGCATTCAAAATTCTTATTATCAGGTCTTATTACCTGTCCATCATTAAATATCTTGCAATTCTGCCACCTGCACCCAGTGTAGTGCCAAAACAACTTCTTTGAGTTCCTAAAATTCTCTATAGTCTTCTCTTTTCTCTAACTGGCTAACTTCTCTTTATCTTTAGGAATCACTGTTTTGGGAAAACGTCTCCTACCCCTTCTCCCAAAGTACACATCCTGGCTTTGAATTAGGTGCTCCATTTATGAGCTCCTACAATACCTGTGGCTATCTATAGCATAATTATTGTAAAGTTGCTTTATAATTTTTAATTCTCTCGTCTGTCATACCATAGCATAAGTTCATCAAAAAAAGGGGTTTTTCTTTCATAGAGGTACTCAATATATGCTTATTGAAAGAATGAATAGAGCATGATCCATTAGCTACTCACAGAGATGACCATAGATCATTAAAAATATTTTATTTTTTAATTAAAAAATTGCATTAACTTAGAAACATTCAGAATGTCAAAAAACAGGTACAACTTTTTTTTTTTTTTTGCAATTACAGAGTGGTATTCAGTTAACAGAACAATAATTATTTCATATAAGCTGCATCAGAGACAGTTGAAGATGAAAAACCTCCCATCCCCATATATAACTAATATGTGCTATGCACTAACAAGAACCTGCTTTAAATTTCCATGCCAATTTCCAACCCCCATACTGTACTAGGCAAGGTTAATACTGACAATACTACCAGGACAGGGCTATCTAAAGACACCCTCAGTAGTGTGTTAGCTATACAAAAAAAAAAAAAGAGTACAATGTAAAAACAAATCTTACACAGCCCGGATTTCAACCTTTTTTATTTAAAAGGAGTGAGTTGTGTACAGGGGGATTAAATCCTTTATACATGAGAAAAATAATGCACTAGAACAAACTTATTCATCATCATCATCATCATCTTCTTCATCTTCTTTATCTTCCTGGTCCTCCTCCTCTTTTTTTTTTTTTTTTTTTTGCTTTTTTCAGCCTTGATGACTCCCTTTTTAGCTGCATCAGGCTTTCCTTTAGCTTGGTATGCAGCAATATCCTTTTCATATTTTTCCTTCAGCTTAGCTGCCTTCTTTTTATAAGCCTGCTTGTCATCTGTGGCAGTGTTATTCCACAGCTCTCCCAGCTTCTTTGCAACATCACCAATGGATAGGCTGCAATATTCTCCTTTGACTTTTGGGCCATACTAAGAACAAAGCAAGAAAAAGGCTGAAGGAGGCCTCTTGGGTGCCTTGGGATCCTTGAACCTCTTTTTGTTTCCCCTTTAGCGGGGATAGAAGTTTTCATTTCTCTTTCATAATGGGCCTTGTCCGCCTTTGCCAGATCTTCAAACTTTCCTTTCTCTTTAGCAGACATGGTCTTCCACCTCCCTGAGCACTTCTTAGAAAACTCTGAGAGGCCGACTGAAGCATCTGGGTGCTTCTTCTTGTGCTCCTCTCCTCAAATTTGCACAAAGAATGCCATATGATGACATTTTCCCTCTCGGCTTCTTAGGATCTTCTTTGCCCAGGTTTAGTTATTTTCCTGGTGAGGCACGGAGTCACCCAGTGCCAGTCTGGCTCTCGCTTGCCCCAGTGCTGTTTCTATGGAGCTCAACGTACAGTGAGTGATGGCTGTGAAAGCTGGAGCCAGATGCAACCTCCAAAAAGATTTTAAATTATATTTCATATGCTTTACTTAAGAAGGCATGAAAGTACATAATATGGCTTAAAAGTGCTATCACAGGGGTATATCATGTCCAAAATGCTTAGCATTTTTTTAACATGATCCATATCCTCAGTAAGGCAGAATACTTGTTGTTATTGTAAGTAAAACAAGTGATGAAGATTTGTTATAATTTATTGTTAGTCCTGTATTTTTAATAACAATGAAAGCAGCCGTTCCCAGCCACAGCCAAACAGCAGCTTTATTAGTGACGCTGGATTCTGTACACGGCGCGCTGTGTGCACGCAAGCATTCCCTCGGGAGTGCCTCCAGCTGCACGGACGACACCGGAGGGATATAAATAACGCTTTGGTGTGTAGGTCTTCGGGAGAGAGAGCACAGGTTAACACCGCAAGACGAACACTTCACACAACATCGGCTCTCAATGTGGACTGGGCTTTTGGCCAAGGGGGTGCATTCTAAGTGACTAGACACTAGGGCCACTGCAGACCTGGCGAGGGAGGGGGTGCCTAGGGCTGGGGCTCGGCCTGGCCCTGTGGTTTTGCCTTCATCTGCAAGTACTGCCCACTGCCTTCCTCAAAGCGCTTCTTTGCGTCCTCTGTGTCGGGCACGAGCTGGGGTACCGGCAGCGACCTGCCCTCCTGGCTCAGGGGCACACAAGTGAAGAAATCACTGGCAGCCTGGTAGCGCGTTTGCAAGTTGTCCTGCACGGGGTCGGCGTCCCCCGGCACCTCGATTTCCACGGACTGGTTGCTCGTGAACGTCATGCGCCCAGAGACGGTAATATCGCACCCTTCTGTGACCTTGTAAAAGTTCGTGGCGTCCACAGAAGCAGTGACTGTGTTGGTCTTGCAGTGACGCGCGGCCACAATCCCGGGCACCCCGTCCACGAGCTTCGTGCTGACCCCTGCGTGCACAAGGCCGTGCAGGGTGCTGTCGGAAGGCCCCGCCAGGTGCAGCACGCCGGACTGGCTGTAGCTGGCCGTGTCCGGCTCCGGGTTCCGGCGGGGCCGGGCGGCGTCTCCGTTCCTCTGCGTGGTCTCCCTGCACCCCAGCTTCTGCGCCTCGCACCGCTTCCAGCCCTCCGCCTCCCGCTCCTGTCGGGGATACAGGCCTGGAGGCACCCCCGGGACCTTGTCCACCTTCTTCAGCGACAGGGCCACGTACCACACGGTGGCCTCGTTGGGCGGCTTTTTGGTATCTGTGAGTACGCTTTCAGACATCACGTTGACGCGGACTTCCACAGGACGCTTGGAGGTGGAGGTGACCTCGGCGCTGACGTGCGTCGCATGCGCGCCGATGCGCATGGGCGACAGGAAGTCGGCGCGCTCCGCCCGGACCAGGGCGGCAACGCAGCGCCGCCCAATCTGGCTGTTACAGTGCCGGGTGCTGACGGTGGCCCCTGCCTCGGCCATCTTCAGGATGGTTCCACCGCGGACACCGCCAGCCCCACTGGCATCAGCCGGCCGCATGATCCGGCAGATCCGGAGGGAGGACAGGGTCTCCGCTGCAGGGCCCCACATGCTGGCCCCATCCGCGAACAGCTGAAGCGGAGGGCAGGTGCCTGGCGCCGAATGAAGGAGCCCGGGCGGCACCATGAGGGGAGGGCGAAAGCAGCCATTTTTAAATACACGGAATAAAAGAAAACAAGATAACGTTTCAGGCACAACTCCAAAATACTGTCTAGATTTCGCCTGAAAAAGTCGGTCAAAATTTCTCTTCCCCTAAATGCACCTCCTGCAAGACGGGCAGGTTCCTGATTTTTTTGACCAGAGACTAGCAAGTCCTGACCCACTGACTGCTACTTCTATTGTATAAGTGAGTAATAGTCTCCATTTGTTATTTGCTATGATCTGGTGCCTTTCCTTCTATCAACAAATGAAGAAGTGAAGGAATTTGCCTCAGGCAGAACGGCTTAGAGGTAGCAGGCCAGTATTTAACCTCAGGCCCCAGTGACTAAAGCCTGGAAGTAAACATCCTGGATACCAGAACTCTCTGTTTTCATGCTATAGACTGTGGTTAACCTCCACGCTAGCCCACTTTTGGCGATAACCATGGATCATAAACACAGAACTTAATGGAAGTATTGTTGCTAGCTGTTTTAGAACAAAGCCTTCTTCCTGGCGAATAAAATCTCCAGATATATTTCAGTTTTCTTCTCTGTAACATTTTAGTGATACTCATTCCTTATGGGAAGAGTAAAAATTGTCGTAATAAAAGGAATGTCTGGCATTTGTAAGACATTATAAGACATTTATAGTAAAAACAAATGTCTTATAAACTCCTTTGAGCTGCCTGAAGAAATGTGTAATATTAAGGCAACTTATTAGTGGTTGAAATGTATTTTTCACAAATCTCACCAGTTGTTTTAAGCGCAATCTCATGGTAACAGTTTGTTCAGCCAAGATTAACATAAGCCAATATACACATTTGTAGAAAAATTCAACCCAATTACTTTGAGAAACACTGACATATTTTAGAAGAAAATGCCAAAAACTCGAAATTTCTTAATAATTAGTTTCAAAAATGCCTGTTTTTGGAGGAAAACTGTCTTCAAAAACACCTCCATGCACGCGTGTTACATCTATTATACCAGATATTGAGTTACATAAGTGGGCAAAATAAGAAAAGCAACTAATCTCAATAGTTATAGCTTGTGGGTTTTTTTTTTTTTTCTATTTGACATATGAGGCGAGTTGCCTTAAAGGTCACTAGTCACATGCTCTGCAGATAAATCTCGCAACTGTTGCTGTGTAACTTGGCAGGACTATAAAATATTAGAAAGCTGTGACTGAAAATCTGGAAGTTTTTGTAAAGTCCTAAAACTTAAAAATTGAAACTATGACAAAGATTGTTCATGCTTTTGTTTTGTAAAATCAAACCATAGCAACTCTTGGCTTTTTTTTTTTATCTCCTCAAATATAGCTATAAGCATCCCTTTTCTGGTTTAGGGAAACATATGTATCCATATGTACCAATTCAGTGGGTTTATGTGATTTTTATTGGGACTTTGGGGCAATGGGAAGAAAGCCATCAGAAATACACCTATTACATTATTTTGTATTTAGAAGATTAAAGAAAAAGTAAGACTCTAGGGCTGAATGAGCAAGTGTTAACAGAACATTTCAGATATGAATATGAGGCAGGGACTAGCTAAAATTATTGTAATTTCAGATGCTGTCTGCATGAAAAATGCAAACCAGAATATTGCAGCAAATCCATTATAGCATTTCAGGAGTTATGTATGCTGATGAGTAGGAGAAGGAACTTTAGAAATAGATCAATAGGGCAAATAGACTTTAACCACCAGTGTAAAACATGTAGTAGAGTTTGGAGTTCTTATTCTCTCACAACTTGGTCCAATCTTTAAGACATGTGATTCTTAAGTTCCCTTAACCTAGGACACAATATCGGTTCTTAAATACCCAGGAGAAGTGTATTCAGTTGATCAAGATCAAGGTCACATATCACTGAATCCTTCATCTAAATGACCGTATTGCTTCTTGTCTATACCATTACTTTTACTGCCTTATGGCTATTGCTGACCTATTACCTCAAAATGCAATTGAATTCTTACAATTTTTAGGGCAGAAACCAAATCTTTTACTGCTTGATATACTCCCCTATGACTAGCATTGTGTATGCACTTTAAAATTCACTGAAACCTGTCAGGTAAACATGGCTGATTGAGCAAATGTGTTCATCTCTCTGCTCTCTCCCAAATTTCCAGCAAAATTACAGGAAGGAATAAAAATGGTACTGATTTATACAATACAAGATAATGAGAATGGGAGAGAAGACAGCAGTGGACTAGAAAGATGAAAATTGGGGAAATATAGCAAGTACATGGAAGAAACATTTAATAGTGTAGGGGAGGAGGAATCTTAAAAGCAAGCAAAGGGAGGTAACAAAGTGCAAACCTATTTACTTGTTAAACTGTGGAAAGGGCCAGGCATTAGAAGTAACAGTTAATTAGAAGGAGGGGTATTATGGTCTGAATGTCTATGTCCCTACTCCCCAAATTCATCTGTTGAAATCCTCACCTCCAAGGTCATGGTTTTAGGAGTCAGGCCCTTTGGGAGGTGATCAGACCATGAGGGTGAAAACATAATGGGATTAGTGCTCTTATGAAAAAGACCCTAGACAGCTCCTTCGTCTCTTCCACCATGTGAGGTTACAGTGAGAAGTCTGCAACCTGCAACCTGGAAGAAGGCTGTTAGCAGAATCCAACCATGCTGGTACCCAGCCTCCAGAACTGTGAGCAACACATTTCTGCTGTTAGTAAGCCACCTAGTCTATGGTATTTTGTTACACAGCCTGAGTGATGAGGGGTGTAATGGCGCCTGGGTGGCTTAGTTGGTTAAGCATCCCACTTCGGCTTAGATCATGATCTCACAGTTCGTGGGTTTGAGCCCCGCGTCGGGCTCTGTGCTGAACACTTGCTCAGAGCCTGGAGTCTGCTTCGGATTCTGTGTCTCATTCTCTCTCTGCCCATCACCCGCTCACACTCTGTCTCTCAAAAATAAATAAATGTAAAAAAAAATAAGAAAAACGAATAGATTGGGCAAAAACATGAATTAGGATTAGACAGTCATCTAGGTACTCACCCCTACCCGATGCAGCATATGCCCACCCTGCTGCTACCTCCAGAGGAAATGAAAACTTTGGTTTCAGAAGAAATTTAACCATAAGGACTCTACACTTGAAGTTGTCAGGCACAAAGGTGGATATGGGGAAAGTGGCTAACTCAAGGCTGAATTAATTAAGTGAAAGTGTGTACCATGAATTATGAGAACACATCCCTTCCCATCCCTCCCTCCCTCCCTTTCTTCTTTCTTTCTTTCTTTCTTTCTTTCTTTCTTTCTTTCTTTCTTTCTTTCTTTCTTTCTTTCTTTCTTTTCTTCCTTCCTTCCTTCCTTCCTTCCTTCCTTCCTTCCTTCCTTCCTTCCTTCCTCTCTTCATTTCTGTCTCTCTCTCTCTGCTTTATTGAGGTATAATTGCCAAATGAAATTACTTTCTCATGGGTAAGACAGATAATGAACCATAAACAGATCAAATATATAGTATGTTAGAAGTCAAGTGTTGTGGAGAAAAGCAAATAGGAAGTTTGAATATAGAGTGTTAAGGCTGTAGATTAGAATTGCAGTTTTAAAGTGCATCTTTTAGTAAGGACCTGAAGGCAATTGAGGCAACAAATTATATTATCATCATCTTCCAACATGCTATTTATATTACTAAGGGAGAAGAGGTAAAAGTTCTGAGTATTGGATGAGTATTTATTTGAGTGTTCCTGGAAAGACAGTTGGCCAGGGTATGGGCGGGGAGCAAGGTCTGTTAAGGGGAGTTAAAAGATGAAAATTGGATATTGAAAAGATGGCTGTCTTTAAGGAGATGCTTATGATTCCTAATCAGGTAAGTGAACATTATAATGGAGCCAACAAATAACTAATACCAAAGTCACGGTAATGGTGTTTTACTAATATTACTCTGGTGACCTTCTTGTTTTAATTGGGATAAGGATGGAGGTAGGAAATTGACTTCATGCATGTATATATCCAAATGTGTTGTGGTTTGGGATAGGCACTTGACCCCCTAATCCCTTGACCTCTGCTAATTCCTCTCCTCAGTTTATCTAAATTCCATTCACTTTTTAAGGCCTAGTTTGAATTCCATGTGTTCTGGGTGGTTTTTAAAAGTTTGTTCATTCCAATTCCTACTGATCTCTCCTCTCTATGATTTATAATATTAAAAAGAAAACATTTTCATTTTTAATTTTCACTATGGTTGCACTTTTTCTTTTCGCTGTTATTGAAGAAACTTAAAGCCAGGGACATGTATTTTCATTCCTTTATTTCTTTGCAACATGTTGTAGTATGCTTGACAGGCTGTTTTATTAATTTATCCTCCTGGTGTTTATGAAGTCAGGTCACCTGCTCGCTAGAACTTCTCATGAGTCCTATACCACATAGGTAATGATGTTCAAGTCCATTAAATGCCCTCAGGTTACATTTATAGTTTACTCTCTTATCATTCTGTACCATTTCCATGGTTTAAATAGGCTTTGGAAAGATAGACATTCAACCAGATATTTCATGGCCTCATCAACCAAGCTGTAAGTTTCTTCCTTTGACTCTTTTATCATTTTGGTTCTGATATCTGAGATACTCAGATCATCATCATCTTCTTCTTCTTCTGGCAATTTAACAATTTAATTGATATATAATTTCCATATCATAAAATTCTTCCCTTTAAAGTGTGTAGTTCAGTGAGTTGTAGTATATTCACAGAGTTGTGTAACCATACAATATTTGCTTGCAGAACACTTGTATTGCACTAAAAGAAACCCTGTGGCTTTAGTCACTACCCACTGCTTCCCCCTCTAATTCCTGACAGTAACTAGTCTACTTTTTGTCTCTAGGGACTGGCTATTCTGGACACTTCATATAAATTGAATACAATATGTGGTCTTTTCTGTGTCGCTATCACTTCCTTCGCATGGCATAATCTTTTAAAGATTTATTCCTCTTGCAGTACTTATGAGTCACTTT